AATAATTTATCCTTCGACAAATTTCGTATCGTTTTTCCATTTCTTTCTAGCATGAGAGAGAGAGAGAGAGAGAGAGAGAGAGAGAGAGAGAGAGATTAAAAAAGGACTAATTTTGAAGACAAAAAGGTAAAGGGTGAAAGAAATGGGCTGGATGGATCGATATCACTCGTGAAACGATTATTATTATTATAATTATTAAGATTATTTCTTTTTTCATTCTTTTATTCGTGCTTCCTTATTTTATTTTATTTTTTTATTTTATTTTGTAAGTCTCTCTCCCTACTTTTGATCGGACTCTCGAATCACATTTTTTTTTATTTCTCTTATTATTATTATTTATTTATTTTTTCTATCTTTCTTTCTTTCTTTCTTTCATTCATTCATTCATTCATTCTATCTTTGTTTTTTTTTGTTTTTCATTTGATTGTTCGGTGTCCCGTTTTGACGGGACAACAAGGCGATCGGATCGATCTCGATCGGAATAGGAAAATATTTGTACGTTCAATGCTTCTTCCCTTTTCAATGTGAGGGGGGTCGGGTGGTGGTGGAAAAGAATTCGTCTATCTAAAGGATTTCCTCGTTTCTCGCAATTTCCATTAGGCAGTGACCTAGTGCAAGTTAAACTTGCCTGTCCGTTCGAAAAATTGATGCCTTCAATTATTCCTTCCTTTTCTTTTTTTTTTTTTTTTTTTTTTTTTTTAAGAGAAATCAAAGGAGTTTTTTTTTTTTTTAATTGTTGTCCAACCACCAGAGAGAATTTAATTTAAATCGAACTTGAATATATTAGGTGGTTCGGAAAGATCGTTTCGTTTTTCTTTTGTAAAAATGAAGATAATGTTTGCTTCGAGGTTAAACCTAAACTTTTCAAGTGGTCATAAATAGTTGAATTTGATAAATTTAACCTCTCATCGATCTCATGTGTTACCATTTTGTCGGTTTGCATCAACTAATGCCATTATTGCGTCAGCAAAAAATGAAACAACTTTCCGAACGACCTAATAAAAAAGGAAAACAAATGAAATAGGTTACGTGATTATATCGATCCTTTTCGATCCGATCTAAGATCCTTGTTTTCTTGAATAGGAGATTTAAAAGGGAGAGAAGAAGATACACAGAGTATAATATCGAAGGCACACGATTTTTTGAACGGGGTAACATTAGATGTACTTACATTATGCCTGGGTGAGCTCAGATTGGGTCTATCGCACACTGGACATTTTAAGAACGAACAAAATATATGCATGTGTACACCAGGTGTCTCGTGTTAAACGACATAACCAAATAACTTCAATCTTATTTCTTTTCAAAACAAATGTTTTAAGTTCAAATCGCTAAATGTTGGAAAGAAAAATGCAACAATTGTTTCAACTATTGAAACACCATTTTTTTTTTTTTAAGGATACAAAAATTATAATATTGTAAATAAAATGGAAATCGATATTTCTAACTTAACAAAAGATATCAGTAGGAAAATTCCAATCTACAAAAATTTCAATGAAGTAAAATCTATGATTTTTTTATTTGAAAAAACCGTGATGAATTTTATAAAATAGTTTCGTTAAATATCACATTTTTATTTCTAAATTTAGCAACTTTGTATTAAAATATTCATTGATAATAAAAGATCGAAGTTATTTGATCGTATCATTTAAAATAAGACACCCTGTATTTAATATTTAGTAAAAAACGTATGTACGAAGATGATAGGATGTAAATATATCATTTCTTTTTAATATTTCTTTTTTTTTTTTTGAAGAAATTTTTGAACAGTTCTCTTCTTTCTTTTTTACTTTTTTTCATTCTTTTGATTCATTTATTTTTTACTTTCTCATTCGATCGATGATCGATTATCGATAATTCATATATCGTTGCGATGTGAAGAATCAATCGAGAAAATAAAAAAAAGCACGGATGAGGTAAAATTTATTTAATTTAATTTAAACAACGATCCGTTAATCTCAAAACAACCAAAATAAATCTGAAAACAAAAATATAGGAAAGAAAAAAGAGGGGGGGGGGAAGAAAAGGAGGAAAAGAAGAAGACGAAGTTTTGTTTCTAAATGCGTTGACAAAACGCACCTAATTTGACTGTTTTATTTTTTATTTTTTGTGTATTAATACGTCAAAATTCTTGTCAGACGATGTTAGATGTTTGTTAGTTAAACTTGAGATCACTCGAAAAGTGATAAGAGGACAGATGATTGATAATATTGATGGACTTAAGCTTAAAGATGAGGTAAGGAAATAAACGAGAACCATATTATGATGGTTATTCTATGGTTTTCATGGTTACCATTAATTATAACGCGAAGATAAAAATAAAAATATCTTAGAAATATTTCAACATTTTACCTAGATCGTTTTCTTATTTTTTTGTTTATTTAAGAGCCATTCTCCACTTTTTGTAATTTTTCACCCCAAAAAAGTATAATAGATATCAAACGATGATAATACAAATAAACAATCAATTTAAAGATATAAAATATAAAGTATATAAAAAAAGAATGTGTGTGTGACCCACAATCGTAGAAGTCGTGTGAGAATGAACGAATAAATTCGACGAGGGGCATATTTGTTTACGGAGAAAAATATTTGTTTAAAGGGGCAGGAGTTTCTTTTCTTTTTTTTTCTTTTTTTAATATCCTTTTTATTTTCCTGAGGTTCCTTTACGAATCAAACACACACACGTTAAAAAAAAAAAAAAAAAAAAAAAAAACAAACATAAGACCTATACGAGTGAGAAAAATTCGTCAGGGTCGTCGTCGTGTTCATCGGTCGTCGTATTTGTGAAATTCGCCGCAAAGAGAGCTTTCGTTATGATGTTAATAATAATAATAATTAAAAATAAAGAAAAAAAAAACCAAAGGAAATTTATTTCGATAAAAAAGTATTGGTTGTCGTTCGTTGGAACACATACCCGTCTGCGAATGAGGTGAATCCATTCCACGATGACCGTCCTCCGGCCTGAGAACTGGCGAAAAAGTCGCCGCACTCGAAACCGAGACCGTTGGAGCTTTTTCAGTCTTGTCGTTTCTTATCAGCTGGTGTACCGGTGGTGGACCTGCACAAATAAAATCAACAATTTTCAAAAATTAAATAACATACTCTCTTGAGTATTATTGCAGTGGTAGAAATTGACGACACCTACTACCCCGCAGTGTTAATTCAACGACAATGCGGTCAATCAAGCGTTTAGGTTTCCTGGCCATAAAGCAACCCTTAACGTATGAACATACGAGCTTTACCTATTACAGTATATGCATATGTATATGTATAATACATATATATATATATATGTACGATAAAATGGGAGCCACGAGAAGAGAATAGCCGTTTGCTTGGCCGAGATCCAGATATGTTTATTGCTAGAATTTTTCTCCGTGTATGTTTTAAGCTCGTAGAAGGTGGTCATTTTATTTCGACGGTAAATTTTCTCTCTATCTTTACCCCCTTCCATCATATCCCCATCCTTACCTCTTATGAAACCTTCTTTTTCTTTTTCGTTTCTTTTTCAAAACCAACCACCCCTCAACTCCTTTTAACATGCAACATCTCTAAACTCCACCCCCTTGTAACTCTTGCAACTCCTCCTCCTACCACCCACCTCCCCTTGCTTTTCTCCTTCCTCTAACATACATCGTCAAAATACCATTTTTTCGTATCGGTACTTTGTTATCGCGTTTGTAGAAAAAACTTCGGGCACGGTAATACGCGTTAAAAATATCTTTCCTTTATGGAGGGAGAAAAAAAACTTTAAATTACTTTATTCTCTAACCTTATTTCTTTTTTCTTTTTTTTTTCTTTCTCTGTATGGAAAGTATGGAAGGCACGGTTGAAGGTATTCGCGCATAACCTACGATTCAAATTTGGATCGCAATCAGAGGAATGACTCGGTTTAAGAGGGAGGAAAGCTTACCGGTTCAAACTTTCTTCTATAACTGGGTCAAATTCTAGGCATCTCTTGTGCTATACCATTTTCTATCTATCTATCTATCTATCTATCTTTTTCTTTTATTTTTATTTTCATTTCTTTCATTCTTTCATTCTTTATCTCATGGATACGGTAGATAAAATATCTTCGTGTGACAAAATTGATAAAGTTCTAAATCAATGTTTTCTCTTTTTTTCATTTATTTAACCCATTACCCGTCAATGGCCCTTTTTATGTTTTTTTTTAATTTTATGATTATATTACATGTCGTAGACTTTAGAAATTATTCTTGAACTAATTATAAATAGAAAACACGTAACTCTTGATCTTAGAAAATTCGAACGTTAAGTGGAAGAGGGTTGCTCGTTACGATGTAAATGGACCTTCGAAATATCTAGGCCATCTGTGCACTCGCATAATTTCTCTGTCGCATAACTTGCTTTTAAACTCTAAAGAGAGAAAGATGAGAGAGAGAGAGAGAAGGACTGTTGCAGTGTATACTACAAGCTACATCCGAGTTATATTTGTATAAGTAAAAGCTACATTACATGAAATTTCATGTTTCCAAATTATTTCTGATTGACCACTTCCGTTTCCTCATGGTTACATCTTACCACCTTAATGTCAAATTAAAATCAAAATATTAAGTAATAATAATCATAAAATGAACATTGAATGCTATCATTGGATTTAATCAAATTAATTAATATGAAATGAATGTAAAAAAATTAAAAAATATATTTTACTGAAAAAATATCGTTTGAGAGCACACGCAGATGTAAAAATGCAATGATAAAAAAAAGCCGCCGATTATGAGAAAATAAAAAAGGGATGACATCGAATAGAACTTTACGATAGACTTAATATACTAATTATTAAATTTACAAATAAATATATAATAAAATATAAAAAAAAAATAAGGAGAAAAAGAATAATATAAAGAAACTTACTGAAGCTAGCCGCAGGCTGAGCATGATCCGCGGCCGTGGCTGCGGATGGAGGGGTGTAGCTGCTGCAGTAGTACGGCGGGTGCTCTATTTTGATCGCGTTTATTTGAGGCTGCATGTCGCTGAGGTCATGCAGTATGGACGCTGAAACCAGACACACATCAGCGGTTACGGATCCTCGATGCTTACCACCACCTACGTCATCGTGTACGTCGAGATTTCCGAAAGGTATGGATGCTGGTACCCATCCATTTCATCATATAACAATATCATTATTTTTCCTCACCCCCAATTTAAACTCAACACCATCAATTCGCACAAATCATTCGGATGACAAGATGTATAATTATAATAATAAATATTTATATGTTACGTACGATAGATGTAATGTTATTTTAATCTTCTAAATGTATTTAGGATGACAAATGATGAAGATAATAAATTAATTAAAAAAAAAATGATGGAGTATGTGGGTAATGAGACTACGTCAAAGTTTCGTTAATGATTGTGAAGTCGTGGTGAGTTTATTTAGACAATTAATCGAATAATGAAAGCTCGCATATGTTATTAATTTTATATAAATACTAGGGGTGCAATCAATTCGATAAACACGTCTTTAAGAATTACCTTATACCGCCATCTGTTAGAATCTTATCGAACTAATAGAGATAATCATGACTCTTTGTTAATAAATAAATAATTCGCAATAAAATAATATTGCGATTATAAATTGAGATATAAACTATCCTATCTTTCAAGTTGGATGAAACTGCACACAGTGTGCAAAATTTGATTAAAATCGGTTCAGTAGTTTAGGAGTTCATTGCGGACAAACAACGTGACACGTCATTTATATATATTAAGATATATTATATTATATGTATATATATATTAGGTATTTATTTTTAAATTATAAATATATTATTATATATTATATATATATATAATCATTTTTATCTGATTTCAAGATAATCGTAATCATTTTTATTCGATCAAACGTCTATCTAATTAATCATCATAATTATTATTATTATTATTATTTTTAATGGGAAGAAAAAAATTGAGTATAGATAAAAAAAAGGATGAACACATATAAAATGATTGCGAATCGAGATTAAAGATTACGCGAGTGTCTATATAGAGGTTTATCAAGAGAACGTCCCACGGGAGTATCTAATTATAAGATGACGAGGACGGAGAGGAAGCTTCTCGAATGGTGCGAAGCTTATATTCGAAGAGGGCCAACGGATATTTATTCATTACGTTCTCTCTCTCTTACTTTCTTTCACTCTTTCTCTCTAATTTCTAGCGAGTAGTTTGCAGTAACAGTAAATGGGTACTGACGCGAATCCAGCGTGGGACAGGTGCCGTTTCTTAACTATTTCCATATTATATATTTCCTTCTTTTATTTGATTTCTATTATATTCATCGCTTTTTCCGTTTAAATAATTATAAATATTAGTAGAGGACAATACTAAGTACGATATACTATAATTAATTGTTAATTAATCGATGGGAATGTGTATTAATGTTTAAAAGCACAGAATATACCTCAGGTGTACCGTCCTCTTCGAAATTCACCTTGAGACTGGCACGTTACCCTCTATCAAAATTCTTCTATTATTAGGTCGAGTCATAAATAACTTTCGTTTTTTATGAGACAAAGAATGGCGTTTCTGTGACTGATAAGTGCAAGACACCTTTCATGGAGTTTTTTTTTTGCACTCTTTGCAATTGTTCAACGTATCTATTGGATTTTGCTCCAATATTACCTTTAAAAGGTTCGTCAAAGTTGGAAATACGTCCTACACTCGGTTCATCTTTTAAGATCGTATCTTCAGAACGGAATTTTACAAACCAATTTCTGACTGTCCTATCAGTTATCAGTCCTGCACTGTATACGCTGCATATTTTTTCAGCTGCCACTTTAGTGCTATTGCCTTGTTTCAATTCCTAAAGCATTACATGTCGAATATGCACTTTTTACTATACATTTCAGTGGTTAAGAAAAACGGTTGAATGTAACATTGACTGTATAAAAAAGTTAACAGAAGACTAACTGAATCCTCATCTATGTAGTGATATCGAAAATTCGTTTGTTTCGGTGACTTATAATAGGTAAATACGAAAAATAGTTTTTACATAGCCGCATCACAGAAGTTACTTACTTATGACTCGACCTAATAAATGTTGTTTATATGACTTTCCGAATGTCGTGCATGTGTGGAACGATTATAATATTTCTAATAAAGAGAATTTAAGCTTATATCGTTCTAATTTTAACATTTTTTTTTCATTCCAATGTAAATGTTTTATTGCTCATGCGCAGTGATGTCTTTAAGAGTCAAATTTTCATCTAATGAAACATAAGATCAAAATTAATCAATATTTGGTGTTAAATGCAAATTAACTAAACTTTGTATAAAAAAAATAACAAAGAATTACGAGGAGATACTTTTAAAAAGCAGAAATTTTTCCAAGGACAGATAAGATTTGAAAATTTTTTGTTTTCCTTCCTTCCTTGTTTTCAGATAGGAAAAAATAAAAAAAGAAAAAAAGGAAAAAAAAGAAAAACGAACGCGTTCTTTTGTTTCTCGAATTGCGAACTTCCTACGGAAGTTACAAAGCCTGGACCATATCACGTGACGTCGAAAAATAGAGAGGTGAGTGGAAAGGGGTGAGAATGAGAGTGAGAGTCAGAGAGAGAGAGAGAGAGAGAGAGAGAGAGAGAGAGAGAGAGGAGAGAACCAGGGAGGAGGGAGGGAGGTCGATCGAGGTTCTCCATCGTTCTGGAAAAAAAAGAAAGAAAGAAAGAAAAAAAAAAGAAATGTTCTCTAGGTTTTCGCACAATGCCATCGAGAATATTAATCCTACGCCTTTTTTCCCTTTCGCCCGGACGATTACGCGTGGCAAAAATTGCACTCCCCCCCCCCATTCCCCCTCTTGCCCCAACTCTCCCTTTGTTTTTTTCTTTTTTTTTTTCTTTTACTCTTCACCCTAACACTAACACTCCCCCTACCCAGAGAGAGAGGAGAGGTAACTCGTGTTCGCGAAAAAAATGCATATATGACCATGATGGTTCTGGTTCTGGTACTGGTACTGGTGTCGGTAGTGGTGATGGTGATGGTTGCAAACTATGTTGGTGCTTTCGCACACCACTAGTGGAAACAGAGTCGAACATTGGGGGAGTCAAAAAAAAAAAGTTCCTAGAAAATAGTGCTCCCCGCGGGCCTACAGTTGCTAGACCTATGAGGACCAAAAAAAAGGGAGAGATAGATATAGATAGATAGAGGGAGAGAAAGAGAGAGAGAGAGAGAGAGAGAGAGTCTGCTGTGGGAGTATGTGCATTGTGAGAGTAAAAAATAGGAAAAAAAAAAAAAAGAAAAAAAAAAGAAAACTGGAGAATGGGCCAGGATTGCACGCGCTTCGGCGTCAGCTTGATTCCCATCTTTTTCTCGTATTGTCTTTTTTTTTGTCACTTTTTTTTGATGGGGGGAATTTTTTCTTTTTTTTTTTTTTTGGATTTTATTTCTCTGAGCTGAGAAAACTTTACTTCGTGAATCGTTTCGTTATCGTTTATTTTGTTCTCGTTAATTTTACTACGAAAGAGAAAGAGCGAAACGTATGTGACTGTGAAATGAATTTGCAATCGTTTTATAATCAAACGTTTCAAATATTCTTGTCAAATGTAATTGTTTAACGTAATTTAAAGAACAACTTCTTTCTTCCATCATCTTCTTCTTCTTCTTCTTCTTCTTCTTCTTTCCGTTTTGTTAGCCACTTCTAGTTGCTACAGTTTCTTTACGAGTGGTGGTGTAAGAAAGAAAAAGAGATAGAAAAAGAGATTAAGAGAGAGAGAGAGAGAGAGAGAGAGAGAGAGAGAGAGAGAGAGAGACAGTTAGTGTCTCCCACCAAACAAGTTATTTCCCACGTCACACAGTTTCTTCTTCCTACTGGTAAGAAAGAGAAAGAAATAGAAAAATAAAGAAACAGAGAGAGAGAGAGAAAGAGGGAGAGAGAGTTGGTGTACCCTTCTTCATCCCCTTCCCCACCTAACAAGTTATTTCCACGTCAAGAGAAACGCGGAAAGACGGAAACCGTTCAGGAAAGCACAATTGAGCCGTAACAGTGGTGCGAAAAGCACCACCACTACCATCACCACCACTACCAATGATTGTGAGACTTGCCTGCCTGCCTCCAATAAACTTTACGAAGGCTGGGAGGAAAGGGGTTGTTCACGGAAACGAAAGAGAAGGAAAGAGAAACAGAACCAACGAATGAGTGAGAGAGAGAAAGAGTCCGAAGCTCTCAGCAAAGCTCTGAGGCCCTGAGCATTGTTCCCTGTCTATTAATACACCGAGTTGCATACTAATCTCTGCTGGTACTGTAGTGTAAAAGAGATAAAACTAGTTTGTGAGATACTAGCATCTGTGTGTATGTGAGAGAGAGAGAGATAGTTATACTACTCACTACGTGCATTCGTCGAAGCGTGTTTCGAGACTCGCACAGTTTCACGATACACACGTTCTCCTGGCCTATTATTCTATTTAACGACGATGTCAATCGCGTGTCTACTATTATCTCTTCTTATCTATTTTTTATACATTTTTTACATTTTATATCACGTTGTGAGACAATATTCGTTGTATTCGACGATAATGTTGATGATGGTTGGTTGTATTGCATTGGTTTTGTTCAAGTATGAAATTTGTAATAAAAGAAATAAAAAAATAAAAATAAAAATAAAATTGTTAATATGATGATATCTGAATTTGAATATTCTAGGTCTTTGTATTTGGTTTTCTAAAGAAATGAAGGATGGTTGAAATTTTTTTCTCGAACAACCCAAAAGTATCTTTCCCTTCACACAGACACACACACACACACTCATATATATATTTTGTCTAATTTTTTCCTTTTGCATTTCCCCGGGAACTTTCCTTTTTTTTTCTATTTATTTTTTTTTCGTACGAGAACGAAGCAGGAAAATTTGCAGTAAATTGCGAAAGTAGAAACTGCGAGCGGCCCCGTAAATGCACTCGTCCAGCTACAGTAGGGTCTTTTACAACGCTCTGTGAACACCGTATTACCCCTTTTCTATCTTTAACGTTTTATTTTCTTCTACCATTTTTATTTTCTTTATGACCATTCCATTTGATTTATCAAAGGTTACAAAATTATCTACGTTGCAGTAATTGCTGCATTTTCTTTTTACAACTAGAACACATTTATTCTTTCCCTTTCTCTCTCGCATTCATTATAAGTCCACGTATAACTTCATTAGAATAATAGTAATAATAATAATAACAATAATAATAATAATAATAATAATAATAATAATAATAATAATAATAATAATAATAATAATAATAATAATAACAAGAAGAANAATAATAATAATAATAATAATAATAATAATAATAATAATAATAATAATAACAAGAAGAAGAAGAAGAAGAAGAAGAAGAAGAAGAAGAAGAAGAAGAAAAAGAAGAAGAAAAAGAAGAAGAATGATAATAATAATAATTAATAAATAATATTAATGGTGATGTGAATGATGATGATGAATGAATGAATGATAACGATGACGCATGATCGATTTCAATGATCGCGATCCGTCGTACACGTTAGGATGCTTTCAAAAGATCTCGTTAACTTTCTTTACGTTACCTTTCGAAAGCATCGAACGTGAAGCATGACTTGTCGATCGAACTTTAGAAAGCTTTTCAATTTTTCAAAATAAAAACATCTTTCGTACGTACATATATAATTCTATTATTATATTTTGTTTCTTTTGACAACAAAACATCTGATATCATTAATATAATAATATAAATATAAATAAATGTATGCGTGTATGTACAATGTATGCACATATATACAAGGTGTACTGTAATTGAATAATATATTATATATATAAAATATATAATATTAATATTATAAAATTAAATAATATTATAATTTAATATTTAATAATATATTATATATAATATATTATATATAATATTAATAAATATAATTAAATATAATAATATATTATATATATTAATTAAATAACACCCTATATACGTGCGTGTATTTTGTAAAAACATTAATTGAAAAATCTCGCGTTTTTTCTTTTTTTTTTTTTAACTTTTCATGCAAAATAATAATACAAATCTTTAATAGAAGAAAAATTTTCTTTCTTTATCAAAAGACAGTGAAAGAAAAACAAGGTTTACAAAAAAACAATATGTATATTCAACGACAGAAAAATAAAACAATAATAATAAAAATAATAAAAATAATAAATAATAGAAGAAGAAGAAGAAGAAGAAGAAGAAGAAGTAGAAAAAGAAGAAGAGAGATTTTAAGAAGAAAAAAAAAAAGTAAGAAAAATAAAAAAAAAAGGAGCAAGATTTCGTCGTACCTTTTGAAAGCATCCAGAGCTCCTTCGAGCTGAAGACACCTGTCGCGAGGATCGTGTCATTGCACACGACACCGTTATAAAGTTCGTGGTATCCTGCACCTGGGAACAGAACCCAGTCGGCGATGTTTCGTTATGTAATTCTTATCCAGGTGCACTCTTTTTTTTTTGGAAGGTGAAGGTGAAGGTAAAGGAGAGGGAGAGAGGGGTTTGAGAGGGGTTTGAGAGGGGTTTGTGAGGATCATCAGAAAACAATCAGTTGCTTTGTTTGTTTTATTACGCATGATACGAATGAATCAAAAAACGGGAATCGTAGGAAAATGATTTTGGAGATTGTTTGGTACTAGTAAAAAAAAAAAAGAAATAAAAAAAAAAATAAGTAAATAAAAAATAAAAGAAATGAAGTAATAGAAAAAGTAGAAGAAGTAGAAGAAGAAGAAGAAAAAGAATAGAAGAAGTTGATGATGATGATGATGATGATAATGTGAGAATTATAATATGATAAAAATATGAATTCACGTTTTATACCTTTTCGCCGCCTTTCCTCTTCTTTGCTCGCATTGCAGATGCCATTTAGGACCTCTGTAAATAATAAGAAAAAGAGAACAATATTGCAACGTATTTTTTGATAGGTTTCAAATTTGTATTTGTTCATTAATTTGTTCTTTTAATTTCTTTCGTCGTTTATCAAATTTCTTTTCAATTTGATATTCTTTCTTTCTTTCTTTCTTTCTTTCTTTCTTTCTTTCTTTAACCACGTCTAACAGTAGATTCTAATACGTTGCTCATCAACAACTTTACCGTCACACGAATGTTTTATATCGTTGAAGTCTTACGCAAATCTCATTACGCAACATACCACCGAAATACACGGGAGCAGCCCGGAACGCGTGCGTGTTCGAGTTTTCGAGGGTGACGATAGTCGCACGCCTTTGCTTTTTGCGTCGTCTTACGATTGTATCGATGATAATTATTATCATACCAAACCTAACTAAATAATATTTATTTATATCTACGATTTATTATATAATATCACACACAAACACACCCACACACACACACATACACACACAATGCATTTTAAAATATTAAATAAATAAATTTATATAAATTTTATATAAATCATTTTTCCTAATTATATCGACAATGAAATAATTTAATTAATTAATTAATCAATTAATTACGTATTATTATATTTATAA